CCCCGTCTACGGACGGATGGATGGATGTTTTTGGATGGCTGCTTTTTCTAAAAGGGACACAGTCTGATTTGCGTCGCCATCAGCAGAGATGTTCAGGAAGACCTCCTTCTCTAATGAAGAGACTGTTTACCTGCAGTATGGTTTTAAAAAGGAAAAACATGGAAGAAAAGCCAAAGGAAAGAAGCCTCTAAAAGTGTTTATTTGATTATTTATTGTCACGTCTGTGTGTGTTCACCTGGGAGCTCTTTCACTCTTTTATCAAATGATTGTTCTGAAAGTTGATGTTTGATGGGTCGAGAAATGACTGATGTACTGTGATGCTCTCTGTTAATGTAAATGAACACAGAAGGAGAAAGATTTTTGGTGTTTGATTTGTGGATTTTATAAATAGATTTTCTGCTTCTGTTCTTTCTGTGAATTTCTATACATTTTGTGTTGGCGGTTGAATATTTTATGTTATATTACACTTGTGTTATATACATTATAACCATTTTCACATAGTTTTGTGTATGTATTAGGGGCCTGCACTCATAAAGAAGCAAAGCACGAGAATAATCACATTAGATTAAGGGTACGGGCCATAATTGATCTTTAATTTTTGACGGGGAGAAAAAGACATTGCATTTTAAGCCATTTCATGGAAAAAATTATGTACAAGGAGGAATCGGTCCTCACAAACATTAACAGCACATTAGTAAAAAACAAAGACACAAGAGTTAAGGATTTGAAGTACTTCTGAACCTTGAAAAAAACCTGGTGTTCTGATATCCAAACTATCGAGATAAATATATTTATAATATTTATATTATATTTACAGAATACCTTAAATATACAACGTCTCATGTATTCTATAAACAAATATAAATGACTTAGGCACACTTTATTCTCAAACAATCCTGCAGCAGGACTCGAAGCTGGCTTGATACGCAGGCGCAGTCCTACACATGACCTCTTGACCTTCCTGCTCCCTTTGCAGACTCTTAGGCCTGGTGGGGCGCCCACCTTATTGCTCACAACTGATCTCTGCGGTAGAAGAGGAACAAGGTCACAGGGAGCTAGCGGTGCGTTTAAGGACACGACCAAGCAAGTCTGTGACGGTTTGGACGAGGATGACATTTGCTCCCGCTCCTCCTTTTTAGGTTGATTTTAAGGTGGATAGTTTACATAAGGTTCAGAGACGACAAATAAGAGAGCAGCTACGATATCTACAGAAAATATACAGTACAAGTGAAATATACAGTTATGATACGGCCAACTAAACGCACACAGAGTGGAGGGGGGCGGGGCGCGGGGGGGGGGGTGACCAGCCGGTCAGTCTATAAGTCTGACTCGGGCATGTCCCGGATGTCGGCCATCAAGTAACCGATACCGTAAAGGCCGTTTGGTGCGATGTCCGTGCCGGGGCCGCCGCTCTGCTTGCGGTAGATGTTGTTGCCGGGCATCGGCGACGGCGCCTCGCTGGGAGACCTGCCGTGGATCAGGCTGGCATCGTCGTCCTCCCCCGGCAGGGCCGTCTCCTTGATGATGCGGCCCTTCTTGTAGGAGACGGTGGCGAGGCCGCTGGCGCCGTCGTCAATGATGTTGAAGTAACGCAGCACGAAGACAACGGGCACGGGCATGACGGCCATCACCACCAGGGAGATGCAGACCACGATGCCCCACGGGGGGAAGTGCAACGTCTGCTCTTTGGCCTGGAGGGAGAAAACGGCAGGTTGGTGACGCACGTTGAAATGTCCTTTTGGGGTTATTTTCCTAGTGATGGTTAAGAAAATGTACTACTTCACAGAGAGCCTTAGTCCGGCTGCAGGTGAACCTTTAATTGGCCACATCGGTGAGCTGCTTTAGCCCCACCGGACCACTTAAGGAGCAGACGCAGGGAACACTTTGTCCCACTTGTCCTCCGCTCCAGTTTGCTCTTGATGTGATCAAACACGCCCGGCGCATCCTGTTGATTGTCCGCCTTTGTCGGGATTGTCTGACCCCCCTGCTTTGATTCCTTTACTGCTTTTTTTTTTTACTGCTTCCAGGAGAAGGACTCACCTCTTCCTGTATCCAGGCGCTGTAGCTGGGCGGCGTCAAGGACAGCTGGATGAAGCTGGCGCACAGCAGCACCAGCAACAGGGTGGGTGTGATGTACTTCCACATGTAGTAGTAGAAGCGGTACGGCGTGAAGCCCAGCATGTCCTTCAGGTCTTCAAAGAACCTGAGGGACAACAGAGGGACGCGACTCAGATGAATTCGTAGCTCACAGTATTTCAAATGTTCAAACCGTATCTCCAACCACGCCGGGTTTCCTCTGATACCGATGTGCACGCGCTACAGGAGACCAATTACTCGGAGCGGCTTCTCACTTGTCGATCCCGTAGACCCAAGCGACCGCCACGTTCTCCAGGACCACCACGATGAGCAAAGGCAGCGTGGCCGAGTAGTCGTCGAACATGGCCACGAAGTAGTTCCCTGAGCGCTGCACGAACAGGAGGCCGATGGAGAAAGCCAACACGCAGCATCCCACTGCGGGAGGAAGGGGATGGGGGGGGGGGGGGGGTACATTACAATGAGGCATAGTACGGCACAGTGGTGGAGGTATGGCGGGCATGCATGCTTTCACTGCAGGGAGGAGTCAAAGCAGAAGGTGTGTGGAGATGAACTGACACCCGTTTAATCTGTGTTTGAATTGTTTTAACCATATGCCTTTGCGTATAGAAAATGAACCCTCAATTTATGGCACAAAGGGTGTGAGTAGCTCTTCAAATGTGATTGTTCCGTTGATGCAGCTGAACCCTGCACGAGTTAAAGAAGAGGCTCTGGAGGTCCTTCTAACCTGTGAGAAATTCCTTGCGGACTTTGAAAGTGTCGATCAGCGGAGTGAGGATGCCCTCGATGGTGCCGAACATGCTGCCCAGGCCCAGGTTGACCAGCATGAGGAAGAACATGACGGACCAGAAGGGCGAGGCCGGGAAGTGGGTCATGGCCTCCGTGAAGGCGATGAAGGCCAAGCCTGTGCCCTGGACCGCCTGTTATCAGGGAGGAGAAGAAGAAGAGGTTGGATACCGGCGGCCTGGGGCGTTCTTATTTGACCTCAGCTGAGGTGGGCTTTGTGTGAGATGGGGGCCCTTGTGAACATTTATTTCTAATACCCCTATTTTGCAAGTACAATGAAAAGTCAACACGGTTTCACAGTAAAATCCACTCAGCAGTTCAGCAAAAAACGTTCCCTTTTTCTGAAAGCTTTTATTGTGAAACATTAGCCGTAAAGCATTGATGCCATGTCATTTACTGATCAGATCGGATTCATCAAACACTAAGAAGGTGCATTTGCCTTTTCAATTACCATAAATTAATTATTTAATCATGCCACAATTTTCACACCAACTGAAGATAAATTAGACCCTTCACGACAAGTGGTATAAATGAATATTTGGGCGTATTTGTACCTTGTTGAGCTCTTTCTCAATGCTGCAGGGATCCAGCCCCAGCGCCTGGTACTGGTCCTCTTTCACCCCTTTGATGATCTCGATCATCTGATGATAGTCTTCAGCACTGACTTGGTTAACATGAGTGAGGTTGATGTGGTGGGGGATCAGGCTTCTTTCAATGTCAGTCCCCAACAATCCCACAATCTTATTGGTGTTTCTATCAAAATACAAAATAAACATCTGGGAGTTATTGACAGTTACTGTGGTCGATCTCTTTAAATCGAGTCTTTATCCTTTTCCCTAAAAGGCTAACGTTATGGTTCAGCAGGAAGCAGTTGGGAGTCCGTACATATATATAATGTGAGAGAAGGCTCGCTCTACTCACAGCGCGACACACTTGCTGATCATAATGTTGGCCTTGAAGCCCAGCACGGCGAACACCACCAGGGTGGCCAGCACGGAGGTGAAGAAATTGATGAAGGACACCAAGACGGCATCGAAGTGGCAGTTGTTGTCCCGCTTGTTGTAGCTGGAGAAGGCGATGACGCCGCCGAAGCCGAGGCCCAGGGCGAAGAAGACCTGGGTGGCAGCCTCTCGCCACACCTTGGCCTCCAACATGATCTCCAACTGAAGGGACAATAGAAGGCAGATTCTCTGTTTTGAGTACACTTAAAACTGGACAGGAAACTCCACGTGCTGCAGTCAGTCAGCTCGGAGAGACCAAGGCGTTGGAGGATGGAGAGAGCCACCACAGTGCCCTGTGAGCGGCTGTTCTCACTCTCAGGTCATATTGTCCAGAAGAAGAGAGCAGCATTGGCTCCAGAAAACGGGAATGTGTGATTAATTAGTTCATTTTTTTTAATCTATTGACAGCCTAATGAACAATTACATTAATTAACCATCTTGCCAACTGACAGCTGCTATCTTGACAGTTTCCCTGTTGAAGTTTCCTCCAACAAAGGTCTCAAACTGAGCAGAGAGCAGGTGCCTGAACGCGCCGTTTGAAGTCGCTGAAGATGTCAGCCGAGGACACAGAGCAGATTCGGCGAGACAGGCCGAGACCGTCTGGCAGGTTTTGTTACATAAAGCGTCAGTGACTCGTGTTTCCATGGCGACACGCTTCCACAGCCAGAAGCGCCATTGGCCAGTTGCTCCCGAGGAGCCGGCCTATCGCGCCGATAGATTTGATTTAATGGATTCAGACACCTTTTTCTTTTCCTTTAAACTAGTGAGTGGATTCAGCTCGGCAGTCGATATTACAGTATATATTTATTATTGCTCTACGGGAAATGTTGGGAATTAGAAAAGTACTTCTACATTTAGTAATGTTTGGATGTTGGATCTATTAACATCTGGGTCATTACTGAAGCAAAAGTAAGAAACTCAAATGCTTGTTTTAATTATTTGTCATATACGACCATCAATACATAAACATAACCTTTAGTCAGATTGATTAATTTGCGTTACCTTGGGCGTGAACATGTGTCGAATCCCGTCCACGGAGCCCTTCAGGAGCAGAGCGCGGACCAGGAAGCAGATCAAGACCACGTAGGGGAACAGGGAGCTGAAGTACATCACCTGTAAGCAAACAAAACCTCCGGTTGGACCTGTACTCCTATAAAGTCACTCTGCATATTATTTAAAAGTCTAATAACATCTCAATGACTCGTTGAAACACTAATTAGAGGCTGTGAAGACAAAATGTTAAATGCAACCAAGCTGTTGCATTTAAACAATGAGGAACAATCATGTTTTACTGGTTTCATTTAATTAAAAATAAGATTCTTGGTATTGAGATGACTGCTGTTCAGTTCCATTGAGAAGAAAAGCCCACATGACAGTGTGCGTTCCTATAGATATATTCACGTAGTGCGAGCTCATTTCCTGATTCTCTATGCAGTGTTGGACATAAAAATATGTAGAGAAGCCTGTGCAGTTGCTTTCATTACAGCTGACAGTACGTTTTTGTTTCTCATTTACATCGAGTTAAAACTTTCGTGCATTTTTGACAGTGACAACACTTCTTCCATAAGCTGCGAGTTTGATTCCTAAACCCTGAAATGGAAGCTTTTGCTCGTCTCGAAGTCCATGGGTTTGATGCCTGTAATAACATCTGTGCTTAAGAGATTGGAACTTTTAACGATACAAACTGCAGCAGTGAAAACCCCTCTTGTGAATCTTCAAGTTTCTTTAAAAAAAGGCGGCTGGTAACAAGTTGCCCAATGAAGCTCCTAGAATTCATCAGGAACCCTTTGGCCTGGAGCTTAGTGGTGGAAACGAGAAGTCATGTGACCGTGGTGCGGTTTGTTCATACACATTGGCTTCCTGTTTTCTTGCACTCGTGAAAGTGTACTTGTGACAAAAAAAAAAAGTATGATAAGCGGACTTGGACAATGGAACGATCCCATTGGCCCTTTGTCGAAGGAACCAGTGGGCTGCTAACCTCGTCATCGCCGCAGCACTCTAAGCATCAGCCTGTGCGAGGCCTTTTGTCCAACATATAGTGCCAATTAGACAGCGGGCCTCTTTTCCTTCCCCCTCCCGGTCGCTCCCGGGACTAAAGAGCGGGCCGTGGTGAATGAGATGGTTTGGGATTGAGTCATGAGAGCGCTTAGTGATTCAGAGACGTCTCTCACACGGTGGTCCCGTGCGTAGAACCGAAGGAGGCGGCGCCGTGTCTCTGAGGGAAAGGGATAGTTCAGCCGTAACAACTTCTGTCCCACTGGGGGAATAAACGGATTGTATTATTGCGACTTTAATGAAATGGTTTCTACCACCTCCGTAATTCCGCTGCAAAAGGGGCAAGTCTCCGGCTGCAGCTGAAATAAAATGTCCTAATTGCCTCTGCTTTGCTTCGTCCGCCCTTCACTTGTTGAAGAACACGCTGGTGGCCTTGGTCAGCACAAAGCCAAACAAGCTGCTATTTTGTGTGATAAGCGGATATCTGCTCCTTTGTCACCTGAAAATACTTTTATTATAAAAGAGTTTGTGTTGTGGTGGCAGATAGCGTGTGCTTCTCGGAGAAGGTTGTGTACTGAGAACCGCCCTTAGCTGATTCCCATGATCGGTGTTTTGTGTGTAAAATATTGCATCATTTTATCACTATGTAGTTGCGTTGAACGGTGTGCAGCAACTTATAAATATTTAAAGACTTTTGATGAATTTCACCACAACCCCCCATCATAATCCATCAATGCCTTCCCCATCTTTTTTTTTGTTTTTTTTTTGGCCACACTCTTGACAATCAAGCCGAGCCAAAAGAGCGCGCGTATAACCATGGTAACCGAAATGGCCTGATCCCTTTCACGCCCCCTCACACGCGCGGGGGAGAAAATGCAGATGGCGGTGGGGATATTCCTTGGAAAAGGCTTTTGTGAACGCGGGTGAAGAGGAGGCCATTAATATGCTTTTGTGCCGCTCGGCGCTGATTGAACTTCAAAGACACTTGGCGCCGCGCCCCCCCCCCCCCTTTTGAGGCAAAATTCAGGCCCGGTTCTCCTCCGGCCGTCTCAAAAGGCGCTGAGTGCGACCATCTGGCTCAGACTGTGCAGTCACCCGGTGGCCCGGCTGGTTCCGTTTGGCTCCTCGCAGAGCCGGTTATATTTAGCATATGGTGATGGCGGTGGAACGACTTCATTCACGGTTGCGCCAGTGATTGTGACAATGATTGTCCTTTTCTGTGATTTCTTTACGGGCCGCCGGGGTAAATGAGACCGTCAAGAGCTGGAAAAAAAAAAGTGCACAGTAGCACGGGTCGAGATTAAAGCAGCTCGCCGTTTCGTCTGCGGTTGTTGCGGTGAACAAACGGCGTTGTGGCATCACTGGAGAAAAGGCCAACACAAGACAAGACACAAAGTCTTTATCAAGGGATGTTCAAAGGGTTAGCGAAGAACTGTTTGCTATGTAGGTATAGCAGTGGTTTCCTGAACAGTTGATTTATATTGAATCAAATAATTTCTATATATCCAATCAAATAATTGATTGAAACCTTATCAGAAAAACACTTGCATACATCGGTATAATAAAGCGAGCTAGAATTCCCCCCATGGCGCGGACACACAGGCATTCCCCTCAAGGTTAACACTGTTAGCGAAGTAGCAAAACAGACGTTCATATTCAATATTTTCTTTAGCTCGATTGATGCCACTGCTAAATGTTACACTTTCTTCACCGGCCAATTGCTAGCTTGGAACTCTACGGTTTGGTGTTGGATTCAGAGCCGTCGTGTCTTAAACAGCTGCGTACAGCAGTGGATGAAAGCAGCAGAGACGGTAAATGTGCCATGAAACCAAAATAATGAGCTAAAAGAAGCTTAACGGCCCAAATGAGCCACAGAGCTGGGCGTTAATTCTCCGTGATTTTGGCCCCGTTACAAGGACTCATTTCATTGCGTTAAGTTGATTGAAATTCCGTGAGACGCCACTTATTTTGTAGACCAAATAAAACTGGCATCCATGAAATATACTGTATTCATTTTGACACAAACTAGCCCTGGAGGATAAGACCAAAATCAAACGACTTCCCCATCGGAGCTCATTCCTGGAAGATTAAAAAGTGCGATCCTTCTTCCAATTAGCGCAAGCTCGACTGTGACCTCGGACGTGCCCCGGCTAATGCTCGCCATGTGACATGCGAAAGTGTGGAACGGCAGAGATCACCTGTAAAAGAAGAAGAGGAGCAGCTCAGCCTTTAGCCGGTGGGCTAATCCTTCTGGACGCTAGTCACGCTGCTGTCAGCTCGGCTACATTAAGCTGCAGTAATAAACATGAGCCATGAGATCTCTCACAAGATCAATGAGTCCGTATCATTAGAAACATTCGTCCAGTCCCATCACCATCAGACCTCCCCTCCAAAAGGCTTCCTCACCTTCCCAGAAGACTGGATTCCCTTGATCATGGCGAGGCAGACCATGGACCAGGCGATCAGCAGGCACACCGTCATCTTCCAGTTGAGCCCCCCGCCCTCGGAGATGTTGTCGGAGATGTTCAGGGCCTCGCGGTACCAGTAGTAGGTGGTGGCCGAGCTCTTCTCGCACTCCGGCTCCACATCTGAGCCAATCAATAAAGAAATGAGAATAGTGTAACACCACTGTCATTTTGAAACTGTAAACAATGGAATAACACTGCAGATGCACAGCTATGATTGTATTCAATGAAATGTAACCGACAATGGCCGACACAGTCACTGTCAAGCGAGTAACACCGAAAAGGTCTAACTAAGGCCGATCTACCCCCCCCCCGCTCGGGCAGTTCGCCCTTACGAGCAGTAGCGGTAACCAATCGGAACAAGAGCGCTGCGTACCGGGAGCAGTCGTGACCTGTTTTTTTTTCTTCTTTTAATGGCAGGCGATCTACCGCCAATGGGTTGGTGATCGACCTGGTCCCCCTGGTCTAACGCATGTGCTCACTCACAGAGTGTGACTCCTAGTGGACATTTTAGGAATAGCAGCTACTCTTAGCTGGATCCACGGGCCTTGCGTTTGACACCTGAATTCTAGGTCACTATGGGGGGGTCAATGGGCAGAGACCAGCGGCTCCTCGGCTGATGTGTTCTGAGGGCGGTCTGTGGGTGAGAGGGGAGCACGGTCCAATCAGAGGGTTGTCGGTTCGATCCCAGGCTCTGCTAACCCGCATGTCAATGTGTCCTTGCGCAAGACAGTTAACCCAACATTGCTCCTGTAGCTGCGACTACAGTGTGTGGATGTTAGTTACTGGTGGGCAGGTGTCACTGTGTGTGGTTCTCCTGTCATCAGTGTGTGAATGGGTGTGAATGGGTGAATGATGTCATGTAGTGTTAAAGCGCTTTGAGTGGTCAGAAGACTAGAAATTCTTTTCAGCACAACACATCTTCTTCGATTAAATACTTTTGTATTTAGTAGTTTTTTTCATTTCTGAAACACAACACGGTTGGCAGAAGGAGCGCGGCGGTGTGGTCCGGCTGTGCGCGTGCATGATTGTGTCTTACACGTGCTGGTCTTGTTCTTGACGAGCGGACACTCGTGCCACGGAAGAGGCTGCTGGAAGGACTGCGAGAAGTAGAAGAGGCTCCAGCCGATGATGACGTTGTAGTAGAGCGCCACGAAGAAGCACACCTTAACAGGGGAGAGAGGCCAGTTCCACTTCACACAGACGCCCCAAAACACTAAACACTAAATGTAGTCAGTACCTCGATTTTTATTTATAGTATTTTCTGAGAAGAAGAAATTGAAAAGTGTTTCTTCCCCTTTTGCCTCATTTAGACATCCTTGAGTGACTCGATAAAGACAGTTGAACATTTTTGAACAACTAAATGTCCTGTAAATCTCATAAACCTTTTATCTTTTGCTCGCCAACAATTTTCATTTTTCTGCAATAATCCCAAACTCTAATAGAAAAGAAAAATGAGCTAGGCCTCCAAAAATACCACTTTGTCAGACCCTCTTACTGCCGCGCGACTCACCATGCAGCTGGCGAAGCCGATGCCCCCCAGCCGAGGGCTGATGTAGTTCCACACCCCGATGCTGCCCCGGCGGATGCGCTGTCCCACGGCGAGCTCCAGGAAGAAGAGCGGGATGCCGATCAGAATCAGCAGGATGAGGTAGGGCACCAGGTAGGCTCCTGCCGGTCAAAGACAGTACGCAGGGCGGAGTTGGTGTGGGTGTGTGTGTGTGTGTGTGTGTGTGTGATTCCTCTCACACAGATCGACCACATGCAAATACATAGAGGCTTTGACACAGGTGTGTTTACTGTGATTCACCGGTGAAGGCGTCAAAACTTCCGCCATGGGTGTATTGTCTTTACGGTTAGTTTCATCCCTGATTAAACAGTGTTTATTGTTTCATCTGGCGTGGGCCGTTCGTTCACATCCTCCGACGAGTTCCACCCCCCCCCCCCCAGCTTCGGCTCGGACGGGAGCACCTTTCTTGGCGGGTTTGTTTGTTTATGTACAGTATGCGAGCCGGTTCCCATTGTCTTCTGAAGCGCTCGACTGTCTGCTTTGGACACCTGCAATACTTTGATGGGAACAGAGTCCATTTCATTTCTTTTCGATAAAGTTTACCAACTCTCTTCACTTCCGGATCACTTTACAGCTGGTTTATCCTGTCCGGTCACTCTGTTACTGTTAATTATTGTTTCTAGGCAGTGCCACATGTGCGGGAACAAGCGGCCTGTCGTATGAGCAGGAATGATTCACAACGAGAACACTATTGACGTAGTCACTGCCGTAATTACTGTATTCTCCACACGGACTGCAAAGAAATTCCGTTTATGGACACACGTCAGAACACACACACACACACACACATGTGCCACATTTTAATCTAATTACAGAGGAACACAGCAGGGTGATCACAGCTGTTTAAAATTGACCCTATAACACACACACACACACACACACACACACACACACAGATGGAGCTCATGTAAACGATGTACATGAACAAACTCATAACAATATGATTGCATCGTTATAAAACACTGAGCTTTGAGAATTAACTGACATGTGTATTTAATAATGAGAATAAAAGCCTGTTATTTAGCTTGTCACTTCTACTGACTGAGACGAGCTTCTGTTTTTGCAAACGCGACCTCTTGGAGTGCGCCGTCCTTGGAATGCCCGGCTAGTCCCATATGAGACGACTCGGCGCAAAGTCATCCATCACAACCAATAAAAAAGACACACTTTTTTACTGGAAGTTGACTTTTGAGAATTCAACCAACTATAAAACCAACTATAAAACACAAAGTCACTCTTCTATTCTAAATACATAATAATAATAATATTACTGTCCAGCCCTAATAATAGTATACGGGAATATCAATAGAAGGCCCAAATGTATACAGGGGAAGGCTTTCCTCCATTGATTTCCATTGTAGGGTTTTTTGTGGACTTTTCCTTGTGTTATTTTAGACTTTAGCAGGAATCTTTACCGTTGTGGTTCCCAGAAGCCCCGGACACACTAAACAATGACCGGCTATATAAATATCACACTAGGAGTGAGATTATATTGTGTCTGGACAACCTTAGTGAGACTGTTTCATTTAATCAGCTTTGTTGAGGGACTCGATGGCTTTGTGTAATCTCCAGGTGGGAGATGCAACACCTTATCACCTACACGTACACACACACACACACACACACACACACACACACACATTATCCTGACCCTCTACAAGAGAGAGTAAAGCAGGGCATTGTGGGAAAAGTGGGGGTCGAATGCTGTTTTTATTAGACTGAAATCATCAGAGAGGGGAGGATTTTCTGCACGCCGACAGCACAGTTCTAATATATATATATATATATATGTATATATATATATACATACAGAGAGGCAGATGGTCACGTGACTCTCATGTTGACCCTGAAGGTCATCGAGCAGTCTGGTTTTGACAGACGAGGGCAGAACAAGTCTTTTTGGAGGAGACGGCCAATCTCTATCTCAACCACATTTACTTTTACGTTGAACAGATTCAGGATCCCTGGAGCCATGAATGATGAAAGCTACACCATCAGTTAGGGAAAGAGGAAGACCACACCTCTGGTGTCTGAGAGCACACAAACCGAGCGCCAGCCACATGCGTATGATTTATCATGAAACCTGTGACGCCAACTGGCTCTGGTCCCACACAAGGCAGACGTGGCTCACATCCATAATTGATTTGATCTGTGGAAATTAGAGAAGAGCTCTAAAGTCAACTTGTTTGCTCTATTTCAGGTGTTTTGTTCTGCATGTGGCCCTTCCGTGTGCTATTATTACACGTTGTGCTTTGTCTGAAGCACATGTGAAATGCTCTGCAGGCTCAGTGCAGTTTTCTCTCTGCTGCATTTTCGGGGTGCGCTCACTGTAGCTTTTTACCTCCCCACCAACCAGTTAATTTATTTAAACCGTTGTTATTTAAGGGCTGGTGTTTCTTTCTTTGAGGTAGCGATGTTGTCATGTTCCCAGGCCATTAAACCATGAAAATAAGACCTGTGTTGTCATAACAACGATCATCCGTTCTCGATATCTATTTTTGCCAAGGACCCCCGACAAGAGAATATACCTTTTATTTACACTTCTATAGTCTCTGTTATGTGAAAGAACACACAAGAAAATGTATTGGAAAGATAAGACACGTGTATTAAACATATTCATAGATTTCACGAGTTATTGAGCATTTATGTTAATCAACGTAAAGAATTAACCTCGCACTTCAACCAAGTAAATGACAAGTTAGTGTTTTAAGTTCAAACGGCTCGCGATGTTCTCGTGATGTTTTTAGTGATTTATTTTTTTCCACATTTGTCCCACCCCTGAAGTGGCAGCGAGTGACTCACCCCCTCCGTTCTTCTGGCACAGGTAGGGGAACCTCCAGACGTTACCCAGGCCCACGGAGAAGCCCACCTGGGCCAGGATGTACTGCAGCTTGCTGTTCCAGGCCGGGCGCTCCTCCTCCTCCTCCTCTTCCTCCTCTCCGTGCGAGCCCCCCTCCTCCACGTCGCACTCTTTCCCGTCCCCGCCATGGTCGCCGACGATCAGAGAGCTCTTCTTGAAGGAGTCGTCGCAGGCGTCCTCGTTGGAAAGCAGGTCCCTGACGGACTCCGTGACATCGTCGTCAAGCTCTCTCTTGACGGCTTTGCCGTTTTTGGGCATTTGATAACGCGAAACAAGGGGCCGAGGGGTGGAACGTCTTTTCTAGTTGGCTAAAAAGGGCTCGTGGAGGACGGGGGGGGGGGCAGAGTCACTTTTTGAACTTTTGACGGGGGGGGGGGGCAAAGCTGCGGGTCTTGAGACGGTTCGTGGAGGGTTGAGTGGTCACAGGAAGCGGTTTATTTCATCATTATCACCAAATGTCTGCGGGGCGGAAGGAGAACCATGGCAGTTAGTAAGCAGGTGATTATTGTATTCAAAGAGTCACCGGTTTTGTTTTCTTTCAGCCAAATGTTCTTCTTTATACGGAAAGTGCCGTCTGGATGGTTTACCTTTTTCTGTCACCAAAACTTTTTGGCAAATGAAGACAACAAAATACCTATGAGTGTAAAGCTAAAACCACAAACTTCAACAAGCCAAGCAGTGTATTTGGGGAAAAAGAAATCCTAAATTCGCACTCACATCATCTCACCTGACGAAAGAGAATTATTGTTTTATGCCAGTTGTTTCTCACATGGAAATCACATGACTTATATGGGGCAAAAAATCACAAGATCAATGAATGGAGATCATGTTATTACGATGCATTGTTCTAAAAGAAGAAACAAATACACAAAGGACAGGGAGCAGTGGCCTGGTTGTGGGACGCTGTCCCGGGACAGAGACGATCACATTCTCAGCCTCCTGAATTATTCAAGGGAGGAATCGAACCCCCGCAGGACGGGGGAAGCCCTCACATGTGGCTCATAAAGAACATCAACACCCCAAAATACAGATGCGGGACACAAGCCGGAGCAAACAAAGGGTCGTCTCTTTTCTTTTTTTTATTTATTCTCATCTAATATAAGCAGCGTTGGGAGAGGTTGTACGGTTTTCATCAGTAAAACGGGTTAACATGCGCCACATCTCTGATTAAAAAAAAAAAAAAGTGTGCATCGTAGAGCGCTCCAGGTTCACAATATGGGCTGGATATGGGCTCTTCGGTTGCCACCATGTTGCAGAGTCAGGCTGCAAACCGTGCCCGGATGGGTGGGGGGGCAGATTAAATGATTCATAGATTTCCTTTGCCGCCTCCAGATTAGCCCGATCTGTATGAAGCAACGGCCGTGTCCCAATGCGCAATCCGGAGGGATGCTGGTAACCTTCACTGCGCCTCTTTATTCCTCTTTGTACGGAGGCTGTAACCGGATAAGGTTTCAAAACTGGACGATTAGCAAACGCAGGAAGATCAAATGTATTTTTATTTGCCCCACCCGCCACCCGCCTTCTCTCTTTCTTTCCGTGTGCACATGACTCCGGGATGACGAGGCCAGAAAATGCACAGGGAGATAATAATAATAATAATGATAATGATACGATAATAACAATAACAAACAATAGTGGCACCGGTGCCATGTGGCTTCCACGGGCACAATCTGTTCCCGTGGAACGCGCGTGCATTAATGATGTCTCTCTCGCCCACATGTCTGCATGTCATTCGTAAGAAGTGTTTCATCATCCACAAACCAGCGACATCCTGCGCTGGTACCTCACCCAGCCTCCCTCTGCCCCCCCCCTTCATACACCCATTGAAACCCACTGAGGGTGTCTACTCACCAGTGTGGGAAGAGCAGTGGTCCTTCAATGAAACGACGCGTCTCAAGGAATGAAATTGTGAGAGCACATGCACGGGGCCGTCATTATCACTCGCGTGGACGTGGAGCTGCTCGGACGGGTTTGCGATGTCTTGTGTGCCTCGATTTGTTCTGTCGCCAGCACATGTAGCGCTAAGAAGAGGAGGCGGGGAGGGGGGAGGGGCCCTACTTGGTACGGTCCACTACCACATCGGAGGGGCGGGCTCAGGAAGGACAATGTGCCTCTGTTTATGAACGCTCATTTACCCAAACTGGATAATTATACACATTCACACGTTCTCCTGATGTGATTTTCTTAATGCGCTTTTCATATGGGAATTCTGTGTTTTATATTTTTCATTTAGAGGTTTTGTGACACAACCAAGGTCGCCCTTTCCGCGTCACACGCTCCCTGTGAAGCTTTCGCAATAAAAAAAAAAAAACATTTGCATAATTACCAGACGAAACAAAAAATACAAGTATATGTAGTACTGACTTATGGTTAATCAATATAGTCAGTGAAAGTAATACAAACAAAACATATTGTGTTTTATTTAGAAATGTATTGGCGTTAAAATGCCACATGCGCCTTTTCAGACAAAGACAAGCACGTGCTCTCTTGACAAATGCAGGACGTAAACTAAATATTTAACGGATGAAATGTAACACGTTGATTCATAATGACGGAGGTTAAACAAAGAACAGCTATTAAGGGGACATTTATAGAATAAATCAAATCATTGAAGGACCCCCAATGCGCAGGATGTGGCTGGCTTGCGGATGATGAAACACTTCTTACGGATGTCATGCAGACATGTGGGCGAGAGAGACCATGCACGCGCATTCCTCGAGAACAAATTGTGCCAGCTGATATTGTTATTATCGTATCATTATTATTATTAGGGGTCTCCCTAGTGGTGCTCAAGCACCTGCCTTTTACCCTGGATAACACAAGTGCGCCTTCTGCTGGACCCCAATTGTTTCTACGTTCATCAATATTTAAGAATAAAAATGACTCGATCTGTCACCAATCCCCCCCGGCCAAAATGTGATATCTGACGGGGCATTTATTTGAGTTCTTGCGAGAATTGCGCCCCGACATGTTCACAGCGCTCACAAGCCCCGCCCCTTCTTTTCCGCTTAGTGCTCGTGCAGTGCTGAGCGCCAAACGGCTGCAGCATCGGACAGACAGGTGATGACGGTGTTTGTGAAATCCCCCCCGACTGGGACCGCAACTGGTCCGACGTTTCCTAAAAAATATACAAACAAAAAACAAAATCCAAGAGCAGTTTTACTGTTCGACAAATTAGACACGTTTACTATTTTTGTTTCATTTAATTCAATTATTGAAATGTAAGGTAGGTCTTAAGTTGAGCTACATGACAGTCGGGGGAGGTATATTGTGGTATATTATTAGTGTAATGCTGCGTATGCTTCAACTCTGTCAGAAAACAGTACAAAAAAATGCAGCAAATGCCAAGAAAAAAAGACTCCAAAGAAGAAGGCAAGGCAAGGCAGTTTTATTTGTATAGCACTTTTCATACACAAGGCAGACTCAAAGTGCTTCACATTATAACATTTCATACAATAAAGTGAAATAAAATGCACGAATTAAAAGACAATTAAAAACAGCAAATAAAAGTATAAATTAAAATCTTATTTAAATTGTTTAATTAAAAGCAGAGGTTAAAAGTGCAATGTAGGTAAAATTTAGCAGAAGGCGAAGCTGAACAAAAGCTTTCAGTCTTGTTTTAAACGTGGTCAGAGTTGGGGCAAGTCTTAAATCTTCAGGAAGTTTATTCCAGCTGTTTGTTGTGTAGTAACTAAATGATGCTTTCCCATGATTTGTATTTACTCTGGGAATTACTAACAGATTGGTGTCAGAAGATCTTAGTGATCTTGAAGGCTTATGTAGTGGAAGCATATCAGTGATGTACTTTGGCCCTAAACCATGTAGTGATTTATATGTGAGCAGTAGGATTTTGAAATTAATTCTCTGACATACTGGGAGCCAATGTAAGGATTTAAGAATTGGTGTAATGTGCTCACATTTTTTGGTCTTTGTTAGAACTCTAGCAGCAGCGTTCTGAACAAGCTGGAGCTGCCTGACAGTTTTTTTGGAAGACCTGCAAGGAGACCATTACAATAGTCTAGCCTACTGGTTATAAAGGCATGTACAAGTGTTTCTAAGTCTTGAGCTGACATGAGCCCTCTAAGTCGTGCGACATTTTTGAGGTGGTAGTAGGCCGATATTGTTACTGATTTGATGTGACTCTCCAAGTGTAAATCTGAATCCATAATAACCCCCAGAAGGACAGGGAAAATATCCTATTGTGTTTTATATTTATTTTATTATTAGTATTCTTAATTTTATGAATTTTGGCGATGGGTGCCCTTTTATTTTGGTATGAGCACCTGTCCCCAAAGATGTCTGTGAACGTGCCTGATTTTGGAACAAGTCAGGTTTATCTTTCTCTTATAATAATTGTAGCCTTCCGACTGGTATCATCATACTATACAATAAATAGAGTATGAAATTAAAAGTTATGTATTACGATTGGACACAAATCCACATTATCTTTAATGTAGAATAATATTTTATAATATTAATTTCATATTTCAGATATAGTCTTTTTTACTTAGTTAAATGTTAATTTTTTTCTGAAGGAAAATATGCTAAGATTTGTTTTGTGTTATCTTGGCAGCCCATGCTAACACCTCTCAGTGAAACTGTTTGATTTAAAACAAAAGTGCAACCGGGTGTATGGAGGGAACTGAGTGCCCTCCTGCTCCTCCTCCTCCTTATCACACCATGGTCACACCTCCTGCAACACAAAACCCTTCACTTTCTGTGCACACAGGACTTGTGGCGTTGTTCTGTCTCCTATTTCATCAAGATTTAACAAGAAAAAGTCCTGCTGATCCGCCTCACATTTCCTTCCTGTACTTTTTTTCTTACCCTGTTTCTTTACTGTTTATAAAATGTGTTCAAACGTGGCGTTGAGATCCCCAACTACAGCAACGTGCAGCGTTTTGTAGAACCATTTATAAAAAGAAAATGCAACCTTCCTTGCAAACAATGACAATGCCCTCATCCAAATCAATAAGGACGATATTGAAGGCAGAAGAGTCACTTTGCTATGCGTTGGATTATTGTTTTCTCACATTGTCTTTTGATCAAAAGTGGTAAGAATTATTGAAACTCCACTGTCAAAAGGAGCATGATTCATTTGTGTGTGTCTACAACACACAAGCCCCAACCAGAAAAATGTGTCAAAGAGGAATCAGCAAACCTGGCTGAGATGAGGAATCAAACCTTCGGACAAACCGGTTTTATTGAATCATCGAGGCATTGAATCAACGTGAGTGTGCGTGGATAATTATGTCGTCAAAGAACAGAAGGATTCACAAATTTATTTTTGAGTCACACACACAAATAAGAATGTTTTATCAAAAATGTTTTTGGATGCTGTTACGGTTGCATTCAAACCATTGAGCCTGTAACCTGTTGGCTGAAAATGGAGACATCTGATTGATAGAAATACCCTGATGAAAAAGTTGTTGCATGGGCGTGACCTTGTGAGCTAATACTCTCACCTCATAATCTAGGGAGCACAGAAAGAATAAGTAACGTATATTATTTCCGTTTAATTTATTATCAGAGCCTAAAATGTTTTTTTTTTAAATGGCTGCACTCGCCCAACCCCCCATTACATCTGTAAGTGCCTCTTGACACAAGTCGAGACGCTTGTCTTTAGCACGTGATACGTTACCCCAGTAATGTCCACAAGTTAGCTGAAATAAGTTTAAAAAACTATTTTTATTTGTGGATTCCTTACTATTTTTTGTTTGCATTGCTACACATTTTTGTGGAGAGACTCTTATGTTTCAGGTGCATGTAGGACATCCTCCCAGTACCCTCACACTAGCCGTCAGCGGGTCGCTGTGTGTGAGAGTGAGCGTGTATCTGACGCTCACTTGAATCCCATTACTTCACAGTTCACAGCCCTCATCTCCTGAAGGATGAGGAGCACCGTGTAGTGTATCAGCGCGCTCCTCGTGACGTGAACCCAGGCGTTGTCCTCGTACTAACTGTCCAGGATGATGTTCTTCCTCCTCCTCAGGCCCATTGACTCCTGCTAGAATCCTCCATCTCCTCCAGAGACCTTGAGAAAGGTGCAAGCAAACCGGTGCTCTCAGATTGCATTCAGAAACAATGAGTGGTCTTATTGTTTGTCTGATCACATGACCTATTCAATTCACGCTTTTCTCTGCTGTTCCTATGCAACCATTTACTATGAGATAGAAAAGGATTGAGGATGGCCAGATCGAATAATAAGGGGACATCATCACCATTGCTTTGTGCACTGCCTCAAGTTGCTTTTTTAAAACACTTAATCTTGCTGAAGTATTTTTGTTGATACCTTCCAAACAAGGCTGCTTTGTTTTGTTCAGTCCCCATGGCAACGGTTACATTCATCAATGTTGTATTCAATCAACGAGTCTCTTATTTTAGTTTTATGAGGGACACACAGTCAACAAGCATGCATTATGTCGGGGATGTTTGTGGTAGTGAGAATAACAACGTGTCTGTGTGTGTGCGTGTGTGTACACTGTTTGTTTCTTTGTGTGCGAAGAGATGGCGGTCCAGGAATCAGCAGCTTTAAAAAAAATCTGTGATGTCACTGGCCGGCGGGAAGAATGCGGCCTTCTTCACGCGGAGTGTGACGGCTGGATTACTCCCCTCATGAGACCAACGGTGTGGCCGTGAGTCTGAGAAAATGGAAGACAAAGGCTGATGAAACCCTGAGTGAACTTTATGTCGACAACCTCTTTTGATCCTAATCTTGCCTTTTCTACATTAATGTTATCAAGTGTAGATGGGGGGGGGGGGGGGAAAGGAACAACATACGTGATATTAGTCATAAAACTAAAAAACGCTGCTCATCAAGCGTACAGCCTGAATGGGAGCATTGACATAGCAGCAAACAGTAATGTATGTGTTTGTGTGTAGTTATGTTTTAGTATTCGCCAGCCGGTCTCCATGTCGTGTTGTTCCAGCTGGAGCGTCTGAATCACAACTCAGTGGATGAGTGTTTACTTTGGCGTTACAACCCGAAGTACAATGTCAAACATTAGTAGAGGGAAAGG